GAAAAATATGATCTGAGTTGCATTGAAATATAATAGAAAAAGCAATTAAATAGTAATTTGGGAGATTAGTAGAAAAAGAACAGAGAGAGAGACATTGGTTCTGATGAAAAATGTTTAAGCTGAAATGTAAAATAGTCTCTGACATCTAATTTCCATCTATTCGGTTTTCTTGTTATTAGTTAGGACATTTTGGAGTTCAGGTTCTGGAAGTGGCTTGTAGGGGTGGGTGCTATTGGCTCATGTGACAATATAATAGAAGTTGTATGATGAAGGAGGCTGTGAGGATGGGAACTTGACCATGGTTGGACCTTTCCTGTACTTATAATACATATGGACTTCATTTCTCCTTCTGCTAAGGATGGGACCTGGTTCCTATCAGCTCAGGCCTATTTACTTAGTGTCTCATGTTAGTGGCTCTCTGTGCTATTTGATGACACTTCTGTAGCCTGTGTTCTTTTAGTAGGAAGCTGACCCCCAGTGGAGGAAGGGATAGGGAAGGAGTTCAGGGCAGATATAAAGCACGTCCATTGCCATTCTTAGTTACTTGTCTGTATGAACTGGTTTTTGTAGGAAAGAGGTGGTCTATGTTAAGGACCTGGGCATTCCAGGTGCTGAAATGGTAAGTCTGCTGTTTGAAAGAACTAGCAGCGTTTTTGGCTTATACTGGTATACAGGATATTTATTGAGTTTTTGTTTGCTAAATAATACACATATCTGCTTTCATAGTAATAGTCTAAAGAAGGCACAAAGGTGTCAGGATAAAGGTGTGCCTAGGATGTACTGGGAGTTGAGTTGAACTCAGGCTTTGGGAGAGTGGATGACTTTTCTGGAAGAAAGTTAATTAATTGATCTAGGAAGTATTGCTTTGGTGGGGTGGTGTAGCGGATCTCTGGGTTGAGCACGTACGAGGCAGAGATACGTGATTCTTGATGGAAGCAAGTGTGCAGCTATAGATGCAATAGAGAACGTGTGAACTAGGGGAAGAAGGTGCCCTATTGTGGTGAGGGAGCAGGTCATAAGAGTCCCTGAATGCATTACCAGCCTGATGGAACTTGGTGTTGAAAACCAGAGAATCGTGAAAATTTTACGTTGAAGTAGCCATGGAATATTCACGAGGCAGTTAGCTATAGAATTTGGGAGAGAATTCCTTAATAGAATCAGTTACAGCTGTTGAAGCAGTGAGCTTGGATGAACCTAGACAAAGTGAGTAGAGCAAAAGGCTGGTGATGTGACACAGCCTGGAGGAATAGTGGCACGAAACAAGGGGCAGAAGAGAGGCGTCTGTGCATGAGGCCGAGTGCCAGCTAAAGAAAACCAGTGGCGTAATCCCTGTTGTGCACCGGGGGTGTATTCTAAGACCCTAAATGGAAGCCCGAAACTGCGTAGAGCACCAAACTGTTTATGTATTTTGTTTATCTTTTTTTTCACTCCAGATTTATGAAAAGGTTCCCATGTAGACAGCACTCTACTGATGTTGTGTATAAAATATGCTTTGTTTTCATCTCAGAGTCTAATTAGGGAATGAATAATGGATGAATAAGAAGAAAGGGGCCGGCCAGGAAGATGGTTTAGGGGAAAAGGCACTCGCTGTCAAGGCTGATGACTTGAGTTTAATACCCAGATCTTTACATGATGGAAAAGAAAGATTGCTTTAGTGTCTTCTGACCCCACCCACATGCACAACATGGAATGCACATGTCCACATACATATATCACACATACACATGAAATAAATAAATAGAAAAAATCTTGAAAGATGGGAGAAAGCAAGAAGTTGGAGATGTGGTTTGAAGGCTATAGTAGGGATAGAGGTGAAGGAAATAAGAATACATCCATATGAGAGAGGATAAGGTTAAGTGATAGCTTCAAAGAGGATCACAGTCAATGAAAATAAGGAATCACATGTCTTTAATCCTAACACTCTGGAGGCAGAGGTCAGCCTGGTCTACAGGGCAATTTCCAGGACAGCCACACAAAGAAACTCTGTCTTAAACTCCTCCCCTCCCCCCCCCAAGAAAGGAATCAATGATTATTTTTGCTAAATGTGTGGCTTGAGCCATTGGGGGGTGGAAGTACTTCATGAGATTGGGAATATTATTGAAGGCAGAGGTGTAAACTATGCCTTGTGAAACATAAACTCTGGGATAGTTTTAGGTATGCAGTACATTAGGAATGTAACTGGAGGTGGGGCATGATGGCATGCATGTGGAATCCCTTCTAGCACTTGGGAGGTGGAAGTAGAAAGATCCTCTTTGCTGCATAGCAAATTTTAGGCCAGCCTGAACTACATAAAACGTCAGAGAGGGAGAAAGAGAGAGAACAAGAATACATATCAGAGTTCTGGGTTCAATACGCAGTACCACTGCACATAAAAACAAAATCCCAAGTTGAAATATAAGTATAGATACCCATGTAGAAATAACACATGCTGTACAGGAGAAAAGGACTTGGACTGGAGGTCTGCCGCTGCAGTAGAATACTTCCTAGCATGTCTTCTCCTGTATATATAAAAGGCACACTGTGAATTAGGCACAGCAAGGGATGAACAACAACAGTGAGTAATTAAATAGAAAATGGTCAAGTTCTAACAATATACTGGAATAAAAGGTGTATGAGGCCAGCCTGGTCTACAGAGCGAGTTCCCGGATGGCCAGGATTACACAGAGAAAGCCTGTCTTGAAAAACAAACAGCAGCAACAACACAAAGGCTATGAATGTGGTCTTTCAAATTATACTGTCGGGCTGGAGAGATGGTCAGTGGTTAAGAGCACTGGCTGCTCTTCCAGAGAACCTAGGTTCAATTCCCAGGACCTACACAGCAGCTCACAACCATCTGTGACTCCAGTACCAGGAGATCCAGTGCCCTCTTAGGGCCTCTGTGGGCATCAGACATTCATGTGGTACACAGACATACATAAAGGCAAACCACTCATACACATAAAAAAGTGAATGAAGGATCACACTCCTACTTCCTGTGGTCACACAGTGCCTTAGGGGTGAGCTGAAGTGAGGTGGCGAAGCAGTGGCTACTGCTTTCTTCCACTCAGTGGTGAAGAGCTGTTCTTTAATACATTTTTTTTTTTTGAGACAGGGTCTTGCTATGCAGCCCTGGATTGTTTGACACTCTATTTTGATCATTGCAAACTTGCAGGGATCCTCCTGCCTCTGTCTCTGAGTGCGGATTACAGGTGTGCAGCGTCATTTCTGGCTTCCAGAGGACCATTGTGAGTAGGGAGGAAGGGTTTATGTTTGGCTTGTGGTTTCCAAGGTTTAGCTGGCCCAGTTGCTATGGCCTGTGATGAGGCATGGCATCGTGGCGGCTGTAGAATGGGGCAGAATGTAGTTGTTCACTTCCTGTCAGCAGGAGGGGCCTAGAGACAAGATGCCTCCTGTGATCTGCACTGCATCCTAAAGTTTCTGTCACCTCCCAAAATACATGTGAACCCACGGGGTATACTTTCTATCCAAACCCCGGTACTCCTACTTTTTTCTTTTTTTTGAGTTTTGTGGTAATGGAGATCAAATTTAGGCCTTGTACACGCTAGGTAAACACTGCCACTAAGCCATTTGAAATTATGTTACGGTGAACAGTACCTAAAATGTAACGTGTCATTCTGTCATTTAAACACCTCTCCTCCCTCTTAATGCATGAAGATGTGAGATAAAGTCTGTTCATGTAGCCCAGTCTCACCTCAAATTTGCTATGAAGCTCAGGCTGGTTTCAGACATTGACACTGCCTTAGCCTCCTGCATGCTGGGATTATGGGTGTGACCTGGCTGTACAAGCTCAATTTCTATCAACCTTTCACCTAACAATGGTTTTTTAGTATCAATTAGTGATTTTTTTCCCTGTGGGCACCAGGTATGCATATGATGAACAGACATATACGTAGGAAAAACACTCATGCATGTAAAATAGAAGTTAAAGGCAAATTAATATTTTAAAGTAAAAACTTCCATACATTTAAAATAATTTGTTTGATTTGCTCTTGTTTTGTTTTTAGTGTCTTGACTACTGTAAGGACAGTAGTCAAGGATAGGAATGGGGTAGGCTGGACTGTGGATAGCTAGAATGAGGCTAGATGAGGAGCCAGAGAAGGGAACCTCAGTCCTTGGACTGGGTTTGGGAAAAGGGCAGTCAAGAACCTTACTTGGACCAAGGAGTATTTCAGCTCAAACTAAAACAAGTCAAGTAAATCACTGACTGCTTTTTGCTCTTATTACTGATAATCTGTGAGAGTATTCTACTAGAATAAATGCTTAGTTCTTGCTCCAGTATTTTCAAACTGTAGTAGTTGCTTCCACTGGAGTCAAATGAGGTCTTCTATAGCTTTCTTTTAACAATATCACACATTTTATTTAGATCTACTTTGGATTTTGTTTTGTGGGGGGGGTTTGGGACAGGGTCTGTCTGTGTAACAGTTCTGTCTGTGGCGGGGGGTGGGGGGGTGGGTAGACCAGGCTGGCCTCAAACTCTGAGATCCACCTGCCTCTGCCTCCTGAGTGCTGGGATTAGAGGCGTACACCAGCAGGCGAGAGGTGGTGAGGTATGCCTTTAATTTCAGCACTCGGAAGGCAGAGGCAGGTGGATCTCTGTGAGTTCAAGACCAGCCTAGTCTACAAAGCGAGTTCCAGGACAGGCTCCAAAGCTGTAGAGAAACCCTGTCTTGAAAAACAAAAGTAAAAAACCAAACAAACAAAAAAACCCAACCCAACCAAACAGCAACAAAAAATACACCGCCACTACCCTACTCTTAGTTTGAGTTTTTATTCCATTTAAATTAATAATTTGAATGCTGGGCATGCCGGTACACACATACCTTTAATCCCAGCACTTGGGAGACAGAAGCAGATAGATCTCTGAGTCCCAGGCCCGCCTAGAATAAGATTTGGGGCTACATAGTGAGACCTCCATGCCCCCCAAATTGCAAAAAGATTATAATTTGGTATGAATGTGCCTTATAAAGTGTGTCTAACGTTGCATTTATTATGTTTTCCAGTGAGAAAACAGCTTTAGAGTTGCAGATGTCAACTGTGGCCTTCCTGAGCACATTGGTATCGGCGGTGCCAGACAGACAGTAAGTACTACTAAAATCATAGGTGATGCATATTTTACACGTAAGTTTTCAAGCTTTCATGTACGTATTTGAGTGATTAAAAGAAAAATCAAGACAAAGTAGGCATGAGAAATTTTGTTACTAAAATATGTGTAAGGGCTGGTGTTGGTGTTGTGAAATAGTGTTGACTTCAACAACTTCATTATAGCCCCAGTTTTTCCATTTAATGAGTGTTTTAGTGTCTTTTTCCCTAAAATTTCACTTCTTGATCTTTCATATTTTATATATTGTTAGCTATCTACATATATCTATCATGTGTCTGTTTTATGTATGGAACCATGTTACAAGTTTTAGATCATGATCCATGTTCTCAGAACACGGCTTGTCAGGGAGATGAGCATCTCCAAATGAAACTGAAAGTCACCTTTTGTGTGGATACCCTGGTCAGTCACTTTCTCCAGGTTCTGCCCAAGTGGCGTAGGGCGTAGTGCCTCATACGACGTGATACAGTCCTTTTCCAGTGTGTCGGTCAGCACTGTGGATTCCTCCAGCCTCTCTGGGCTCTGCGGGACAGTGATGGAGAAGACGGATCATGTATAAAACACGTCTGGAAATATTGCAGAGAATACACGTTGGTGAACTAGCAATGGAAAGCCCTAAAACAAGCAAGATGAATACTGCAGGAAGTAGGAAAGGACTGCAGAAAATGTTGGAGAATTGTAGAGAGGTTTACCTTCTGTCTGTTCTTAGAACAAGAGCCACATGCTGCTCAGCGCTGGTTTTACCTTAGCAGGCTGTCTCAGAGCTCTCTGGTTTCTCCAGAATACTGTCTTCTTTTTCATTGCTGCATAATACTTAAAGGGTATAGTTTTTATGCTATGTAGATACATGTTAAAGATAATTAGTTTTATTTTCTATAAATACTGTCTGTTTTGGTGACATAGCCCTGGCATTTCCATGAGACTTTAGTATCTACCTTATCCCTAATCACATTGCATACATACTGTAGAAAGGATTCACTAGGTAGCTCAGGTTGGGTTTGAGTTCACAATTTCCTGCTTAAGCTTTGAGTGATGGAATTGCAGGTATATGATTATCTTTTAGGTGACGTAATCTTAAAGAGTGTATTTGTTCTTGCTTTTGTTTTCTGAGACAGGGCCTCACTATGCAGATCCGACTGTCTTGGAACTTGCTCTGTTGATCAGGCTGGCCTTGAACTCACAGAGACCTCTGGAAGGCTGGAACTAAGGGCATACACCACCATGCCCAGTGAACTTCTGATGCTCTGGCCTTTACCTCTCCAGTGCTGGGGTTGCATCACACCCAGTGCTATATAGTGCTAGGCACCAGACCCAGAGTCTTGGGCATGCTCGGTGAGGACTCTCGGCTGAGCTCCATCCTTTGTCCCAGGACCTTAGCTCTTTAAAATCATTTTAAGAGGGAGCATTTGAGAGTCTAATATAGGATGATGTAAATTTAAGGCCAACTTAGTCTACATAGTGAGTTCAAGACTAACCTACATAGTGAGACCCTGTGACACACAAAGATAATCCGATTCAGATTGAATATTAAGGTAGAAGTTTTGTGTGTATATATATGCAATTTGTGTTTAGAGTGTTATTAATAACTGGCTTTGTTCTTTTGATTTTTGGGACAGGGTTTCTTTGTGTAACAGCTCTGGCTGTCCTGGAATTTGCTTTGTAGATCAGACTGACCTTAGAACTCACAGAGCTCCTTGCCCCTCTGCCTCCCTATTCAGGACTGGGATTAAAGGCGTGGACCACCACCACCCAATGGTTGTTTATTTGAAAAAGCCAATCTGTTCACAGTTTCCCACCACACATTAATCCTTATCTATCCCTATTCCTATATTCTGTATCTTTTTAGAATATATTCTCTTATTTAAGACAGCTGTTTGCAAAGAAACTACAACTTACTTAAATGCATGTCTTTTAAAGGCTCTCATGAAGAAAGAAGACGAAATGTACAAGATTGGATGCTAAATTAGTGAAATATAGGTCACTTATAGTACAATAAATGAGACTGATGTAAATTGAATACAGAAAAGTAAAGCTGATAATTGAGATATTTTGTTGTTTTTATACATCAGAATTTCCCAATTTTACTAAATATTGTTCGGACATTCAATCTTCTTATGTGATGATGTTTTCCATATACCTGCACACAAAGAAGGAGAAGAGGTCGTTTGTAAACTGGTTAAGTATAGAGGGAAGATAAGATTTATTTTTGTATGAGATAGTAACCCCCATTCTGAAAAAAAGTGCATATATTATATTTGAAGAATGTAAAAGTAGTACATAACAAAGTAACATATAAATTATATTATGTAATATATTACCACTTGTATATATGTATGTATGTGTATGTATATATATATGTGGCTGTATAGATGATTTTTAGTTTGCGTCTTGTTTTCTTTTTTTAACATTATATCTTAAAAAAATCAAAACAAACAACCTCCTTTAATATTATCTAAAATCTGGACTCTACCAGCTTGGGAGACCAAAGTAAGAGGATTGGAAGTTCAAAGCTTCCCGCTACTTGAGTGACTTTAAGACCAGCTTGGGAAATTTAATGAGACTCTGTCTCAAAATAAGAAAACTAAAAAGAGGCCTGAGAATATGTGAGGCCCTAGATTCCACTCTTAGCACTACAGAAATAAAATTTATCCATAGCCCTGACTGTCCTGGAACTCTGTAGACCAGGCTGGCCCTGAGTTCAGATATCCACCTGCCTCTGCCTCCTCAGTGCTGGGAATAAAGGTGTGTCTCACCACCACCTGGTTTATTCTTTAAATTAAAAAAAATTTAAGTAGTTTCTTGCTGTGCTGCGCAGGCAGGTCTCGAACTTGTGTCCTTGAGCAGTGCTTGTGCTCTGTGTCCACAGTCATCCAGACGAGAGCTACACCTTCCACATTCAGCTCAAAATGTAGTGTTTAGTGGCTGCCTCCTTAGTCACTGTCCTATTCTTGCTAACAAATACCATGACCCAGGCAATTCTTATAAAAGAAACCATTTAACTGGGAACTTTACAGTTTCAGAGACTTAGTTAATTTTCATTGCAGAGAACATGGCTTTGAACAGGGTGGTGATGGAGATTGAGCCTGTGCAGGTGCATTCTTATTCAGACCACACTGCCTAAAATGCCGTCTTTCTGAGTAGAGTGAGAGCCTTGTTTCTCCTTAGCAGCAAAACAACTCAATTTTAGAAGGAACAAGTCATGAAAATAGATGTTTCTTTAAAGATATGCAAGTGGTAATGCACATATAACCTTAGCCACATTAAACCTTAGGGACATGCAAATCAAAACTAGCTAGTCAGACTAGATAAATCTAAATAAAATTGCCATAATTAAAAAGAAGAACAATAACAGGTATTGGTTGAGAGCGTAGTGAAATTGGAGCGCTTGTACATTGTTAATGGGAATTGCAGTGATGCACCTCCAGGAAAAATAGTCTAGTGGTTCCTCAAAGGGCTGCACAGTTACTGTATGACTTAGAATTCCATTTTAAGAAATATGAAAACATGTATCTGTAAAAAGCCCAATCATGACCATTTAGAATGGGGCTGGAGAGATGACTCAGTGGTTAGAAGCACTGGCTGCTCTTCAGAGGACTCAAATTCAATTCCAAGCATCCACATGTTGGCTCACAACTGTCTCTAATTCCAATTCCAGAGGATCCAGTGTTCTCTTCTGGCCTCCTTGGGCACGGCACATATGTGGTGCACGTACATACATACATGCAGGCAAAGTACACATGTGCGTAAAATAAGAATTTAAAAAAGAATGCTTAGAGTAAGATTATGTATTATAATCAAAAAGTAGATATTCAGATTTTCATCATTTGGCAGGTTGTTAAATAAGAAACGCTGTCTTTGTACCGCAGCCTGTTGTTAAATAAGAAACGCTCTCTTTGTACCGTGGCCTGTTGCTCAGCAGCGGTGAGTGAGAGAGGCCCAGCTGTTGTAGGCTGCAAGTAAGGTGAAGTTTGAAACTGTTCAGGGAAACAAAGCAAACCATGATAAAAAGCCATATTTCATGGCTCCATTTATACAATGTCCCTGAATAGGGAGTCTATATAAACAGATTTGTGATTGCCAGGGATTATAGAGGAGGGGACTGAGATTAAGTATTCATGGATGAGGATATGTTAGGAATTTTCTGGAATTAGATTGGGGTTGATAGTTGTACAGTTCTGTAAATATACTGAAAAACCTGAATTATATGCTTCAAAATGGTGAATATAGACCAGGGGATGCTGGCTGAGTAGAGAGCACTTGCATAGTACACATGAGGCCCTGGGTTTACTCCTTTGTACCATAAACACCAAAAAAAAAGTAACCCCCCCAAACCCAAAGAATAAATAAAAACTAAAAAGAAGAAAGAGACGGCAGAGGTGTAGCTCAGCTGTTATGAGCACTTGCTGCTCTTGCAGAGGACCTGGGTTTGGCTCCTAGCTCCCATCCTATGCAGTTTACAGACAGCCACCTGTATCTCTAGTTTGAGGACTTCCGACACACTCTGCTGGCTTCTGAGGGCACTTGTACTTGTGTGGTGCACACATAGACAACCAAGCATAAACACACATACATAGATATAAAGAAAGAAAGATGTGTTTCTCAACTTGTAAATTGTGACCCCTTTGGGGGGGATTGAATGACCTTTTACAGGGGTCATCTTAGACCATTGGAAAACAAAGATATTTACATAAGATTCATAACAGCCAGGGCTGTCAGCAGAGAAACCCTGTCTCAAAAACAAACAAAAAGTCCTAACAGTAGTAAAACTATAGTTATGAAGTAGCAACTAAAATAATTTTATGGTTGGGAGTCACTACAGCATGAGGAACTATATTAAAGGGTTGTAGGATTAGGAAGGTTGAGAACCAATAGATAGTGAATTTTATAATGTGTGTATTCTGTTTTAATAAAGATAATATAATAATAGATAATTGGGAGTCCACACATTTAAAAGTATGTCCAGATGATAGCCACTGTGCCCAGCTACCAAACATTTTGAATTTGGAACTAGCGGGTTTTGCAAAGTGCTGAAATGTGAGTTGTAAGGGAGAAGGAAGTCAAGAGCTGCTCATGTGGTCCCAGCTTCCAGTCCCGGCACTCTGCTGTGTGGAAGCCAGCTGGGCCTACAGTGTGAGATACTGTCTCGCAAGGACAGCAAAATCGCTATTACATTTTTGGTTTCAGCAACTGGAAGTTGCCCTTAGCTGAGATTTACACATGCCTGGCTTGGGTATTTATGGAGCACTGTGTATCTCTGAACAAGCACTGGAGGAAAGAGCTGAAGGGAGGAAGGATTTATTCAGCTCCTTGTTTCAGAGGTTTCTATCAGCACATTGACTCCTTTGCTTCTGGACCTCTGGGGGAAGCAGAGCACCACGCTTGGAGCATGTGGAGAACAGAGCAGTTTCCTCCCTCGAGTAGGGAAGTCAGATAGAGAGCCAGGAAGAACCAGGGCCAGACAGACTCTTCATGTCACACCTCTGGTAGAGTGACCTACTTCTACCTCCAGGTTCCTACCTCTACCAGTTCAGTCATTAGTCTGTCCGTGTATTAATCTTGACTAGGTCAGAACTCTGATAATCTAATCACATCTTACCCATCAGATCTACCAGCTGAAGATGATGCTCAGTGGGGAGTTTGATGTCACGGCCAGGCAAGAATTGCTTGTTAAATTAGAACCTGTTAATTTGTTAGCATGTTGCTTGAGTTTCAAGTGATTAGGTTGTCTGTCTCATCTACTCGTCTACTCTTTGGTGGTTTCATTCAACCTAATCACTTGAAACCCAAGCAAGAAACCACCAAAGAGTAGATGAGAAAGACAAAAAGAAGTCTTAAGACTAAATAAGCCCTGGATACTCCATTGTTTCAAGGCAAGAGATTAGAAACCCCAAGAATGGTAGTGTCCTCAAGAGACTAAGGTCTTGGGATGAATTGCTCAACTGTGGAAAGGTAAGGACTGAGAAATGGACTTGAGATTGAGATTTTCCTGACACATCCTCTCTCTTTGCTCATGCCTCTCTCCTCCCTCTTCACTTTGATACCTGAGGTAGCTCATGCTTACTGGATAAGTGTTGTACCACTGAGCTGTATTCCTAGCTAAAATCACTTTCTACTGGTTGCTAATATACAGAAATATAGATGGGACCAGGGTAGAATTTTCTGATGCAAGCCTGGAGGCCTGAATTTGATCTGTGGGACTCATTCATGTAAAGGTGGAGGGAGATAAACAACTAACTGCACAGTCTTCTGACCTCCACATAACAACAATAACCATTAGAACATGCCATCAACCTGGCTAAATTACCTGATGGGTTCAGTACTCCATAATGATAGTTCTGTATATATAGTTCTTTATCTTAGAACATTTTTATTTTTCCTGGCTTTTTGAGACATAGCCTGACTGTCCTGGAACTCACAGTGCGGACCAGGCTGGCCTGGAACTCAAAGAGGTCTGGTCTCTCACATCTGGTTTTTCTTCTCTAGAACTTTTATCTCCTTTTCTAGCCTAACTTACATGCTGAGTGACGTCTGGTGCAGTGTAGTAGGGAAGTGATTGTTGTAAGAATCTGCTTTTCTGTTTGCAGAAGGAAAGCTGTCAGCAGCTTACACTCACTCTGGGGCATTTTAATGCCTTCAGCAGCTCCTTTCTATTTCCAGTTTGTTCTTGTTAGCGTGAGTACCTCTTGTGGGGATTCTGTCAGTTTTCTTCCTTCCTTCCTTCCTTCCTTCCTTCCTTCCTTCCTTTCTTTCTTTCTTTCTTTCTTTCTTTTGTTTTTTTGGAGCCTGTTCTGTAACTAGCTCCTAATCCACAGATATCTGCCTGCCTCTGCCTCTGAGTGCTAGGGTTAAAGGTGTACTGCCACCACCACTTGGCTTTTGTTTTGTTAATACTAGGAATTGTATTGATTGATTTTTCAAACATTTAAAAATGCCTTAGTCTTAATAAATTGATGCATTGCATTCTTATGTAATTAATGTACCTTAAGTGGTTAAAGTTTACATCTGAAGTGTCCAGAGGGCTCTGTGTTGGGCTTAGCTGGTGGACATAGACTTTGAGAGGCGATTAGCTCATAAGGGCTTTGTTGTAATCAATGGATCAGTTCACTAGTTCATAATTTGGCCTTAACTAAAGAGGGTGGAAACTAGGAAGTGGGTCATGGTTGGAGGAAGTAGGTGCTAAGTAGGGAGGCAGCATCCGATTCCTAGCACTCTCAGTTCCTCCCTCCAGGAGCTGGCAGGAAGCATCTCTCTCGCTGTTGCTGCTGTCTGATGTGCCTCACCATAGGGGATAGCAACGGAGCCACTCATCCACAAGCTAGAACCTGAAACCGTGACTCAGATAATTCCTTTCTTAGTTTATTGCAAGTATTTTCACAGTGTCAAAAAAGTGTACCTTATCTGCTACTTTTTACTATACGCTTGCATTCGTGAGATATTCCTATAATTGACAAATGTAGTGTTTTACGGGTTTTGTTTTCATGGCTTGGCTCTCTGACCAGTGAGCCCCAGGGCTTTCCCATCTCTTTCCTTCCCTGCTCTAGGATTATAAGCAACTGTACTGTGCCTAGCTTTTTATGGGGTTCTGGAGACTGAAGTCAGGTTCTTATGCTGGTGCCCCAAGCTTTTTACAGATTGACCTCTATCTCTCCAGCCCCAAGACTTGGTCTTTTTGATCTGTGGATCAGTTAAAAGTATGTTGCTCAGATTCCAAGTGTTTGAAGATTTTCCTCTTGTCTTTACGGATTTCTAGTTTGTCTAGTTTGTCTCTTTGCAGTTAGAGGCATACATACTTTGTATGCTCTCAATTCTTTGAAGCTCGTTAAGACTTGTTATGTCATGCAGGCTATGGTTTATCATGGTAAACTGTGCATTTGAAAGGAATGTCTGTTCTGCCACTGTGGAGAGGAATGTTCCGTGAGTGTTGACTAGATCCCTAATTGTTGATGGTGGTGTTCTGTCTTCTTGGGTATTGTCTAGTTGCTCCACAAATTGCTGTCAGTGGAGTATTGAGATCTGGACTGAAGTGAGATTTGTGTACTATCCCGTTTAGTTCTCAGTTTTTTTCCTGTTTGTAGTTGTTTTTGATGCATAGATATTTAGTGTTGTTATATTTTTTTCTGGTATATTGGCCCTTAGTATTACACAACGACCTCTTATTTCCCGCTGATAATCTTTCCTTTGAATTCTACTTCTATCTGATATAATATATAAAAAGTAATTTTTAATTTTAATTAATTTAAATTTAGGCACATGTGGCTCGTGGCTGTCATTACTGGAAGGTGGAGGGAGCTATGACACAGTTTAATTAAAGGTAAATTTTATAGTATGTTAAAAGATGTTAAGAGCAATGGGGGATTAGCTAGAAATGGGGACTGAGACAGAGCGAGTGGGATATGTGACTGAATTGGATAGTCAGGGAAGAAATTCTTGACTATGACACTGAAGAGGGAACAGAATTTCAGAGTGAGAATTATACGTGCTAATACCTTGTGAAGAGGACAGACATATCAAGGGCTGGCAGGGAGGCAGGCAAATGTATGAACCTGAGCTTTACTCAGAATGGCCTGGAAAACTACTTGAGAACTTAGAGCAGCCCCTGATCCAAGCTGACTTTGGCTTTGTAAAGATTACTGTGGCTGATGTGTTGAAAATAGACTCTAGGGGACTGTGGTGCAGTGGAGACAAGTTAGGGGAGAGGAATGTAGGAGCAAGATAATGGCTGCCAGACCCAGTAGTTAGGGTAGATTTTGGGAAAAATATCAAGGCCTTTAATTTCAGGGGTTATCATCTCTTTAAAACATCTGAAATTAAAGATTATTAATTTTAGAGATGTTAAGTTGGAGATGTTTATTAGACATACCGAAGCAGAGAAAACAAGTAGATTGTGGATGTACTGCAGATCCACAGGTCCCTCCCCTTGTGGAACTTACATCGTCCTGGCTATGGATAGTAGACACATTGGTGAATAAACACAGTGAATGAGTAACGTACTAGAGATAACAAACAGGAAGAAAATCCAAGTAAGAAAGGAAGTGTGTTTTTTGTGGAGAGTGTGGATGCCGCTCATTTAGTAGAGTGCTTGCCTAGCATACATGAAGCCCTGGGTTTTGATCTTGGCACCACATAAAACTGGAGGTGGAAGCAGAAGGATCAGGAGTTTAGAGTCATACTTGGTTACATAGGGAGTTCAAGGTCACCTGGGCTACTGAATAGATTTTCTTGTACTGAATTAACAGGATGGTCCCATTTGAGTAATAATAAGGTGGTGAGAAACTCTGTCTTACAGATATCTGTTAGAAAAGTAGACAGAGGGAGCCCGAGTGTAAAGGGTCCCAGGTGGGAGCATGGCTGAAATGCTTGAAGAGAGCAGAAGAGCCGGGAGGCTAGATGTGCTTCCAGTGGCAAGAGCAAGGGAACAGTTAGGGGCAGGTAGTGTCATGATGGCAAGTGTCTGGATGACAGGCTGAGTGAGACGGGATAGAAAATTAGGGACAGTGTAGCAGACGGAAAGTGTCCTCCAACCCATGGATTAAATGTCACTGCTTGTGTTAAGTAGATTGGAAGAAAAAGAATGGAAGCAGGGGATTGGTTAGTGCAGGCTAGTAGAAAGCCTGATAGTTAAGTCAGGGGTGATGGCAGTAGAGGGGATAAGGAGCACACTTTAGGGACTGCATTGCCAGGTTGTCTTTCCACTTGGATGAGAGGCAAGCATAATTCCAAGATTTTGACCTGAGCATCTAGGAGGGCAGAGTTACAGTAACTGAGATGGAAATACCAGGAGAGCAGGTTTGAAGGGAGTGATTGCGGTACAGTCTTAGGTATGTTAAGTTTAGGATGCCTGTTAGATATCTGAGTATAGTGTTCAGTAGGCATTCTGGTAATGTTTATGGGCCCTTTTATGCTTTAAAATTAAGTAAAGATATTAAAACAGTACATTTATTATTTGGAAATATGTTACACTATATTGTTATTTTAATTTTTAACATGTTCAAACCATGACAGCTGGAGTATTTTGGAGATAAATTGATTTGTTTTTGGCTTTGCTGTCAGAGTGGTGCTAAGAGTTAGTCACACATAGATGTTCCATCTTAGAAGTGGGAGTATAATTATGTAGTCTGAGTGTTTCTACTTGCTTTCTATTTTAGGTCCTATTACTACTGGATTTGCAAGATTTTAATATGATTTTTTCTTTGAATTATGATTTAAATATCAAAAATCTTTAAATTTTTTTAAAAAGGGAAATATTTTAGTTTTGGAAGTCAGAATGCCGAGGAAAAGGAAAAATCTTGGGGGAAATCCTTTGCGGAAGACTGCAAACTCTCAGGAAATTGTCGTGTCCCGTGTTGCTAGTCATGAGGAGCCAACCACTACTCTCCCTTCCATGTGTGACACAAAAATTGCTCAGGAAGAACTCTTCACCAGTATCTCAGAGATGTTTTCTGCTCTGGATCCTGATGTAGTGTATTTGATGCTTTCTGAATGTGATTTTAAAGGTGAGAAAAGTTTAGTTTGAATCCTATGCATCTTATAAGAAGACTTCATGTTCTATACCATGATGAATAGCAATGCAGAAAAATGATACTATTTTGTTTGTAATGTGTTAAGTATCTCCCATGGACAAAGGTACTAAGTTTGGTATCACTAGAGATGTGTAGATAAAGATGCTTTCTACTATAAAGAAATGTACAGTTGTAGATGTAAGATGCATGAATACAAATATGTTCTACATTTCATTCTCTCTTACCTCCTCTAGTCAAGTTGGTGTTCTTGACATCTTTGAGTTTGTTTTCCTAAGTTGTTATTGAAAAATAATAGTATGTATTGTACAGGTGTTTGTGGTGAGGATTGAAGGTTTATTTTGTTGTTTGATAAAGACTTCCATATAGTATGCTATAAATTACCTATAATAAGTTGTTTAGAAGTATGTTTGCAGGCAAAGAGAACACTTAGTTGTCTGGGTGGATAAAAGTTAATATTATTTTTGGCTATGGTTGTAAGATAAAATCGTTGTAGATTTGAAGGTTTTGCACATGCCTGGTAAGCTTACATTCTAAGTTACTGTGTGAGCTGTGATGTGAGCATTTCTCTCCTGTTACAATCTATACCAGAACCCAGGTTTCATTGGTGCTCGGAAACAATAGCAGGGAGTGTGCTGTAAGTGGCTAACACACCTGTTTCCTAATTTTATTGCCTTTAAGCTTGATTTCTTGAACATGCGTGTAGAACACAGTTGAGAATTGCAGCCATGTTATCCTGTGACCTAACAAACTCATTCTCTTTTTCAGAATCTCCCATAGACCTTTTTTTTTTATAAACACTTGATGTTATGAGTACTTTGAATAATAGCATTGATGGCATTTTATGTTCTGCTTTTTAAAACTCAATATAATGGGAAAGTTTTCAGTGCTCTTATATATTTCTCTTTATAACAAGGTTTATGTGTTTCTCTTTGGTGGTTTCTTAATGCTCCAGTGAGTTGTATTCTAATTTATTTTATTTCTATATAAGTTTCTCATTAATCATCATTTTTATAAAGAATATTTCAGTAAAAATTGTCTTTTGTTTCTTTTGGCTTTTCTTTTTAGCCCCAAAGCTTTACTTCTTGCAGCACAGGTTAAGAATAGTTTTCTGGGCCTGGAGAGATGGCTCAATGGTTAAGAGCACCAACTGTTCTTCCAGAGGACCCAGGTCCGATTCCCAGCACCTACATGGCAGCTCACAACAGTCTATAACTCCAGTTCCAAGGGACCTGACACCCATGGCAAAATATCAAGGCACATAAAATAAAAATAAATCAATTAGACAAAGAATAATTTTCTGGTCTTGTAACTATACTGCTAAATTAGCAACCAGTGAGATATGCAAGAGTGTAACACTACCACAGCCTTCTCAGCCTTGTGAAGAATTATTTTAAGGTTTCAGTGGTAATAAGATTGTGTCTTTTCTTAACTTTTTAAAATAAAGAATAGTGTTGAACGTTTGTATATTTGAGGTTTTCTTATATTCTATTAATCATTTAGTTTTGAGGTCATTTTTATATTATGGTTTTAATTTTCCAGCAATCTTTTTAATGATAATTATCTCTGTATCTTGGTATATTACTTTATACTGCTTTTCATTATAAATATGCTACTTCTCTAGTTGATCGCTTTATCTACCATGATTTTTTATTTTTTTCTCTTCTGTTTGCTTTTTTCCCTATACTTTGTTTTAGTGTTTAGGGCTTCTTGTCTTTGTAGTTTTTCTATATTCTCCTAACTGACCTCTCTGCCAGGCTTGCCCCTCCAACCCCTCTTTGTTTTTCTCTTAAGGGAACATTAATTGGGTGCTTGCTAGGTGCCAGTCCTTGTGCACAGCACTTTTCATGGATTTTCTCATTTAATCCCCACAACAACCTATGAGGTAGGTACTTTTATTATCCCCTATTACAAACAAGAGAGTTAGTTTAGGGAAGTTAACTAGCTTGTTTGAAGTATCATATCAAGCATGTAGAGATTTCAGTGATGGTGTTCTGACTCCAGAACAGAGCTGTGTCCTATGTGCTGTGTCTTTCCATGTTTAGCTTCCTTAAGACAAAACAATATAAAACAGAAATGACCTCCAAATTTCAAATGCTTAAAAATGACTTTCTTTTCTTGTGGTGCTGATGTCAGACCCAGGACCTCAAGCGTTTTACCCAGGCTCTCCACCACTGAGCACCGTCCCTAGCTCTCACGTGTTTGACACCTAATGGCTCTCTTATTTGTGTTGCACCAAGAGCTCAGCATTGGAGTCAAACACACCGACCCTGGCTCTCCTACTGTGTGACTGGGGTCCAGTTTGTAATACTTTTTTGAGCTTCATTTTCTTGATGCTTTCTAGGATGATAGGTTTTAAAGTATTAATTGAAGACCCAGTGAGGTGATCTGTGTAGTGCTCCTAGCCAAGTGCTGAGGCTGGTAGTTTCTCTTCCTCGCATGGCATTCAGGACCCCTCTCAGTTGTACCCAGTCTCCTCCAGTTTTATCTTTCTCCTTCATCCACTGCACAGAACTCTATGAGCTAACTCTCCAACCAACTTCTCTGAATACTTGAAACAAGTTTTATATTTTCTTTTCATTGAGACAGGTTCTCACTATATAGCCCTGGCTGTCCTGGATCTCACTATGTAGACCAGGCTGACTTTGAACTCAGAGAGATCTGCCTGCCTCTGCCTCCTGAGTGCTGAGATCAAAGGCAGTTTCGTATTTTCAAACTTGGCTTTAACTTTTGCCCTGTTTGGCAACTTGATTTTTAATCTTTTAAGTGCCAGATCATATACTACTTTATGTGAAATCTTTCCATATTCTTCTATCACTATAGTATTTCTATGTTATTAAAAATACACATTGTTTATATTATGATGTAATTATATTTTAATGTAGATGTCTTTATAGTCCATTTAAACTTTATAAAATCATTTGTATTAAAAATGTCTTAATTTTTGTAGCAAGTATTTCTGGTTCATATTTTTTATATTGTAAAAAACATAGAGTGAACAATGTAAATGGATAGGTTTACTAAGAGAATACATACTTAAAATTCTTTATCCTTAGTAGGATATCCAGTAGGTAAATAATTGTTGGGTGAGTCAACTGATTTTAGAACCTTTATAAATGACCCTAATATATATAGTCTGTTTATCAGAAATTTTTAATTGGTAGTAGTTTATTAGTTTGAAAGAATACCGTTCCATGGCTTTGTCGCTGATACTTCTCTAATGTAGATTTTGATTTGTTAGAGTAGTGTTAATTTTCAAAAGATTGACACATTTTCAGTGTGTATATGTATTTTGTTGTTGCTGTTATTGTTCTCATGCAGTTGAAAATGCTATGGACTGTCTACTAGAATTATCTGCCACTGATGCCAAGATGGAAGAATCGCCTTCACAAACTTGTGTTGCTTGTGAGGACAAGCCAGTTGCATCAGGAAGTGCAGCAAAGGACATGCGTCCTCCTGAAGAAGACAGTGAAGATTCAAAACTGGATTCATTTTTGGATATGCAGCTAACTGAAGACTTGGATTCCTTAATACAGAATGCTTTCGAGAAATTGAACTCTTCTCCTGATGACCAAGTATATTCATTTTTGCCTTTGCAAGATGCTAAGAGTTTTAATAACCCTTCTACCTTTATGAATTCAGATTCTAGTGGTATGACTTCTGTTCTTTCTGTACAGAATACGGGCTCAAACAATGAAATTCTCCAGAATTCTGCTGCTTCACTAAGTTCAAACCCACTGACTTCACCTTCAGTTTTGAATGACTCTAAAAGTTTTACCAAGGGTAGCACGCTGGCAGTAGACGGTGGCTTCTCAGAAGATTCTCCTCTCAGTGGCTCTTTAAATCCAGCAGATGACTCTGTTGTAGGTTCTGGCAATTTTAGCCAAAGACAGAAAGATCTTTTAGAACCCAAGTGTCCTAGTACACAGTGTCCTCAAGCCCTTGTAGATTTGGGTACCAGTGAACCTCAGGGTCCTTCAAATCTTCCTCTACAAAATCCAGGGCTTGATTTACCAGGTACAGATGGGGACCGGAAATCTGCTTCTGTGCCTGATATTTTTGTGCCCTCTGAAGGGTTCAGTTTCAAGCCACACAAACATCCTGAACTGCCACCAAAGGGGAAGGATATGAACTACTGCCCAGTTCTTGCCCCTCTCCCTTTACTCCTTCCTCCTCCACCACCTCCACCAATTTGGAACCCCATGATTCCTGCTTTTGACCTCTTTCAAGGAAACCATGGCTTCGTAGCGCCTGTTGTGACCACAGCTGCACACTGGAGACCTGTCAACTACACATTTCCACCCCCCATCATCTCCCATACTTCCCCAACAAAAGCATGGAGAAACAGTGAGGGGACAAGTGCTTACCAAGTGCAAGAGGCCCCGGTGTCCCAGCCTGCCAGGAAGAAGACCACATCTTATGTTGGCTTAGTTCTTGTGCTTCTCAGAGGGCTACCGGGCTCAGGGAAGTCCTATCTGGCAAGGTATGAGGATTTATTGGCATTTTTAAGGAAATAAGATTCATGAATTTGTACTGCTAATATGAATGTACAGAACACTTTGCTAAACAGGTGGTTAATAACTCAAATTATTTACTTACTATTTTTTCTTTTAAGATAGTAATATTCAATAGCCGGGTAGTGGTAGCACACACCTGCAGTCTCAGGTGGTAATAGGGGTCAAACTCAGGACCCTGTGCGTGGCAGGAAAGCATTCTACCAATTGAGCTACATCTCTTGCCCCAGTAATAGCAATATAAAGTAATTCAATGTTACTTATATTTTATATGAAAAGTATCCATATAAAATCAGTTGTAGCAGTTGCTTGTGAAATGAATGGGAATAGAAGTAGTACTTTAACAGGTGATAGATTGTAGAGCTAGGTTTCAGGATCAATGCCAAAGTCTAGTTTTGAGAGTGGAAATAGAAGGTTTTTTGTTACAAAACAGGAACTATATTGTTTGTAGAAATAAGTGGGAGTCTGGTCCATAACATTACGTTAGCATTAACATGTGATATGAGGAAAATCTGCTACAACAGCAAGGTTTTTGGATTTATTGGAAAGGTCATGAATGGATTTTTTTAAAATTAATTTTCTTATACTGTAAGGGTAGAAAGCAGAGGTTAGGAGTTGATTCTGAAAGACAGAGAAGTTGAGAAAAGCTGAAAGGGACCCCATAGTGTAGTTTCACCTTCTTTTCCTTATGTACGTATGTGTTTGCATAAGTATAGGCCCATGTGTATTTGCAGGTACGTGTGTGGGCATGTTTGGAGGCCCAAGGTTGATTTTGGGTGTCTTCCTCAATTGCTTTCCACCTTTTTCATTGAGTCTCTCAATTGAACTCAGAGCTTGCTATGGCAAGTCTGGCTAGCTAGCTAGCTTGCTGCAGGTATCTCCTGGCTCAACCTTCCAAGCACTGGAATTGCTAGGGGCTGCCATACCCACACAGCAGTTTTCATGCTTACATGACAAGTAGTTTCTACTTGTGCAGTAGCCATCATCTCCCCAGCCTATGGTTACAGCTTTATTTAAAGATAACTCAGGTAGGTGCATACTTAGACCAGGTGTGCTGGTCATGTGCATGTCTCAGCTCTTGAGAGGTGAAGACTGCAAGACCAAGTGTTCAAGGTCACCCTTAGTTTGAGGTCAGTAAGTTTGAGGCCAGCCTGGGCTGCATGAGATCCTGTTTCATAAAACAAAACCAAATTGTATTTCAGAATAATTTGTATAAAGCAAAATAGACCTATCTTGGCTCAGATGTTTTTTTTTTTTTCTCGAAGAGTTGAACTTTTGCTTAAGACAATTTCCAGTGTAATTTATTTGAATTTTTATTGCTCCTTTAAACAGTACTACTTGTGTTTTTATTCAAAGTATGACTATAAAAGAAGAGAGAATTCTGGAAAGAAAATTAATGAAAATAATCCCTTTTGTCATTCTTAGGACTTTGCAAGAGGATAACCCAGGTGGAGTCATTCTTAGTACTGATGATTACTTTTATATAAATGGACAGTACCAGTTTGATGTAAAGTACTTAGGAGAAGCCCACGAATGGAACCAGAATCGAGGTAAGAACAGGTGTGAGGGTCTGCATGCTGTTAAAGTAGTAGGAAGAGAAAATTTTCTTTAGGATTTTTTTTTTAAAGATTTTATTTATTAATTATGTATACAGCGTTCTGCCTGAATGTACACCTGCAGGCCAGAAGAGGGCACCAGGTATCATTACAGATGGTTGTGAGCCACCATGTGGTTGCTGGGAATTGAACTCAGGACCTCTGGAAGAGCAGTCAGTGCTCTTAACCTCTGAGCCATCTCTCCAGCTCCCTTTAGGATTTGTTTTTTGAGAGCACTTTAAAGAACTTTGTTTACTTATGTTTTGTGGTGCTCACTCATACCACACAAGTGTGCTGCCGCTGAGCTATAGCCAGAGGTAGAGGCAGGAGGATCTCTGCAAGTTCGAGACCAGCCTAGTCTGGCCTATAGAGTGAATTCCAGGAGAGCCAGTGGCTATGCAGAGAAACTCTGCTTCGAAAAACAAGACAAACAAAAATAATTTGTAATTAAGATAAATCAGGATAATCCCAGCATTTGGGAGGCAGAGATAGGTGGATCTGAGTTTGAGCCCTTCCTGGTCTACAGAGTGAGTTCCAGACAGACAGAGCTGTTACCCAGAGAAACCCTGTCAAAAAAAAAAAATATAAAATTCAACATGGTCTCCCCTCCCCTTCCCTCCTTTCCCCTCCCCTCCCCTCCCCTCCCCTCTTTCCCCCTCTCTTGTCCTCCCCTCTCCTTTCCTCCCCTCTCCTTTCTTCCCCTTTCTCTGTCCCCACTTCTATTTCTGTCTCCAATTCTTCTCTTTGAGTCAAAGTCTTGCTGGGAATCTAGGCTGACTTTAAACTATTTATCTCTTGTTTCATCGTCCCTGTCCCATTTCTGAAATGGAACTTGACTTGTTAAATACTGGTCTTCCCTAGATTGATTCCATCTGTCCAGCCATCTCCCTCCCTCCCTCCCTCCCTCCCTCCCTCCCTCCCTCCTTCTCCCTCATCCTTTTCTTTTCTTCTTAACTGGGTTGGACCCAGGACCATAATGTGTAAGGCAGGCTCTGTCTATTACTAAGAGCAGTAGAGGAAGATCCTGAAGTCTTGCTTTGGCTTCCTCATGAGTGCATGAGTATTCACATGTACACTTACCTGCCTCTGCCACACAGACTACATACATACATATACACACATACATACCCATCTGTCCGTCCATCCATCCATATACACATGCACATAAAACAAAAAAGTGTTGTTTTGTGGTCAAATAATGAAGTATCACATCCGTGACTTTTAACTATGAAATTAAGATTAGATTTTTTTAAATGAAGGTTATACTTAATATTATTTTTGTTTTTTGAGACAGGTTCTCTCTATTGTGTAGCTCTGACTGTTCTGGAACTTGCTTCTGATACAGTCAAGGGATCTTGGTTGGATTGTTTCCTCTGTCTGTTAAAGAATAAAAAGGCAGAAAAATCTGAAGTGCCACAGGCTGCAGCAGAGACTCCTCAAGCACCCAGCAGAAAGGCGTTTAATTAGTGGTGAGGAAACACATGTAACTACAGGCACACATAGAAAAAGATCCTCTGCAAAGCTGAGAAGGGGACACTGGAAGCAGAAAAATCCATCTCTTCTCTAGGACTGGGGTTGTCAAGGCCTCTGAAGAGTTTTCCTCCCCTAACTTAGGGTTGATCAGTTTGAAGAAAGCCAAGATGGTTGGTTGACTCAGAACTGTCATGAATAGGCCTTGAACTGGTGAACCAGTCCATCAGCAGGGGCCTACTGGTGGCAGACAAAAGCCTACAAAACTTGGTTTTGAGCTGTCAGGCTTTTATCTCAACTCAGGAGGGTGAGGAAGAAGCTGGCCATCTTGGAAATTCATGACCTTTATTATTACCTAGCCATGACCTCTTTCTCTGTTTGTCTTTCTTCCAGGGAGTCTAACTCCTTGACTTTCACTACCATGCCCACTCTATTTAATATTAAAATGATGTCATTTTGTATTGTATTTTTCAGCAAAAGAAGCATTTGAGAAGAAGGTATCTCCAGTAATCATAGATAATACAAACCTTCAAGCATGGGAAATGAAGCCATATGTTGCTTTGGTTTGTACCATAAGTTTGTATTATTGGGTTTGGAATCATTGAGGGAATGTCAATCTCACAAGTGAATCTCCAACACTGCAGAATGTCTTGGTTTGCCTTGAACCGAGTCTTAGTCTTTGGTGGATTGGGAAGAGTAAGACAGCCAGACTGAGCTTCTCTGTGAAACTCACTCAGCTTTACTAAGTTTACTCAGCTTTAAGATTCTGATGTTCAAATGTTACCCTCTTGTTTCCTCTGCTCTCTACTATTGAATCTTCTAGGTGTAGCACTGTGCTTGGTATATAGTAACATTATTGACTAAATCCGATAAAGGAAGCTTTTGTGACAGCTTGCTTGCTTCCTTCCTTCTTACCAGCGAGTGATGTGAGTGATGTGTCCTCCATTAGTAGCGCATGCCTTGCAATTGGAAGAAGAACTTCTGCCTCCGTAGTTGAGTGCATATTGGAGTTTTCCTTTTACATCCTCAACACATCCAGATTGCTATTTATATCATTTGGTTTACTAAAGGGTCTGCAGCCACTCAGAGATTTGCCAGTCTCACAGTTAATAAATTTTAACAAAAAAAAGAGACTTTATTAAATACTGGCCAGGACCCTGGATACTGCCCAGGTCCATACCTAAGTCTCATGCTTAGAATGCAGCTCCAAATTACGTTAGTCAGGTTTATAAAGGCAAAACTCACAAGGCTAGTTCCTGCCTTCATGCAGTCAGAGGCAAGACACTTCCTGTGTACTCCTGCCTATATAAAGCACACATCCTGTGCAGTTGGTGCAACTAACCTTGTTTATAGATGTAAAAACACACGGCTTGATATCTTATGTGAACATCAGCCCCCAGCATTTTAGGAAGTTACCTTGGGCAAGTGGGACTTACAGGTTAGAGGCATTTTTGTTTTATAGCTCTCTTAAGCATAGTAATTTAAACTAAAACATGTAACATTAGCCATCATGTTTAGTGCACTTGAACTGTTTTTTTAAGTACAATTCTTTACCTTTCTGGGAAAATGTGTCTTGAAAGCCATGCATGGTGCTGAAACCTTTAATCCCAGTGCTAAAGGAGGCAAAGGCAGGTAGATCACTGAGTTCAAGACCAGCCTGGTCAACATAGGGAATTCCAGGAGAACCAGGGCTACATAGAGAGAGACTGTCTCAAACATCCCTGCCCTCCCAGTGTGTTTTCACTCTAGAAGCAGTGGATTTGATTTTAGTTTGTTGGAAGCAGAAATATACTTTGTTTTCTAGCTGTTTAATAAGATGCTCGGTGTTGGGATAGGCTTACAAGACTGCTCTGTAATCTTCCCATGTTTTCTGTAATCCTCTTAGAAAGTTTTGTGATGTTGTCTTTCCGTATTTATTTATGCTTGTCTACATTCATGTGAATCATCTGTATGCAGCAGGTCACAGAGACCAGAAGGGCATTGGATCCATGGCACTGGGGTTACAAGTGGTTGTGAGCCACCATGTGGGTGATGAATTGAACCTGAATCGTCGCCAGTTCTCTTAGCTGCTGAGCCATCAATCCAGCCCCAACACTTAATTTTTTTTAAGTAGAAAATAAAGGGTTCGAATTGCTTTGTTTCTGATGTCCCAGTTATTTTTATCTTCTGTATTTTTTTTTTTTTGGATAGGTTAACAGTTCATAACCCAGGCAGCCTTGAACTGTTTTGTCTGTTTTAGCCTCTTATATACTGGAATTACAGGTGTGCTCTGCTCTACACAACTTTCTCTCCTTCCTTCCTTCCTTCCTTCCTTCCTTCCTTCCTTCCTTCCTTCCTTCCTTCCTTCCTTCCTTCCTTCCTTCTTTTTTGGCTGTCCGGAACTCGCTCTGTAGATCAGGCTGGCCTTGAACTCAGATCTGCCTGCCTCTGCTTCCTGAGTGCTGGGATTAAAGTTGTGTGCCACCATTGCCTAGCTTCCTTTTTTCTTTTATGATTGAAAATATAAAAGCACTTTTTCATGCTGGGCATTACACAGAGAAACCCTGTTGCAAAAAAGCCAAAATGAAACAAAATAAAGAACATTCTTTTCCAGTATTGATTTCTTGGCTTTTCTTAACTGTACTCAGAAGTGTATAAGAGACCCTGCTTCTCACAGAGTGTCAAGTCAAACTCATTTGTTTCCTCATAAAGACTTGGATATAAGGAGATGAGGCTAGGTCTGGAGTGTTAGACAAAAGACCAGTTCTCAGGCACTACATTTTGAGCAGAGGCATGGATGAAAAGGACAGTCTAGTAACATAAAACCAAGAAATAAAGAAAACAAAAACTGGTGATAGTCTTGTCTTTTTTTTCTTTTTGGTTTGTTAAAACAGGGTTTCTCTGTGTAGTCCTGACTGTTCTGGAATTCACTCTCTATATCCAGGCTGACTTTGAACTCACAGAGATCCACCTGCCTCTGAAAATAGCTGTAATTAAAGGCCTATGCCATGACCTCTTGGCCACAGACTTTTTTTTTGAACAAAAGGGATCTGGTAAATAGCTGGTACATGGAAAGTAGAATCTGATGAGACAAACAAGTGGATGGTATTTATATATTATGGAATTAGTTCAAAGGAAGAAAAGGTGCACAGTGTCTGAGAGGGAATTGCCCAAATCACTTATTCCTGAGGGAGGATTAGTTACAGTGTAAAAGTGCGGTGGTTGATATGTATACCACAGCCACGCTAGAGCTCTGGAACATGGAATAAGCTGTTGTTGGCAGCAGGTTTTAAATAAAACTGACATTGAATGAAAATGAGGACATTATTTTCCATGGTGTGGTTGGGAGAAGGTTGCATCATCTATGAGGGAGAGAACAGCCAGAGGCACCTGGGAAAGTTCAGACTGAACTGGGCCAGCAGAATAGACCAGGACCATGAGAAGAGAAGAAGCCAAGAGGACCAAGTGGATGGGAACCAAGAGGGCACCTAGCCAAAATGGCGGAGTCCTATAGAGAAGCTGAGCCTCTTGGTTGGAGAGGTTTAGGATAGGGGGCAGGGTAAGAATTGCTGGGAGGAACCACAGATGCTGAGTGAGACTTGCCCCAGTTTCTTTGGAACCTGACAGGCGTGTACATATTTGATAAATATCCAAACTTTAAAACTGTGCCTAAAGTCCTTTTCCTAGAGAGAAGTACCTTTAATAGTGTTTTTGAGAATCTTTCCAGATGTTTTTCATGCATGGACAAATTTGTGAATAATTTATTTTCTCCCAAGTGAAAATTGGCTTACTTTCTTATCAGTTTATTTTAAGGGATGTTCTCATTTTCTCATTTAATATAGGATTTTTAAAAATGATGTGTTTGGGGCTTAGAGAGATGGCTCAGCAGTTTAAGAGCACTTGACTACTTTTCCAGAGGTCCTGAGTTCAATTTCTAGCAACCACATGGTAGCTCACAACCATCTGTAATGTTATATTTCCCCCTCTTCTGATGTGCATGAGGACAGAACACTCATATACATAAAATACACAAATAAGTCTTTAAGCCAGATTGGTGGTGGCACCTGCCTTTAATCCCAGTATTTAGGAGCCAGAGACAGGTGGATCTCTGAATTTGAGGCCAGCCTGATCTACAAAGTAAGTTCTAGGTCAGACAGGGCTATACAGAGAAACCCCATCTTGAAACAAAACAAGATTTTATTTTATGTTTATATCCTCATTTATTTAGATAAATTCATATCAGTAGCCAGACCTTTTCTATTCTTTGCTTCTACAAATATTAGTGAACTAAATATCTTGGCATACACATGTTTTGTTTATATCCATGTTTGTTCTGTTTATACAACTATCAGTAACAAAGTTTTGGAACTAAATTGCTGAGTCAAGGAGATTGTGTAAAATTGCATTTCCCCATTACAGTTTATTCCAATTCTTACTTCTGACCCATTTCAGCCTTCTAAGGTAGTGTCTTAGTGTGAGTTTCTATTGCTGTGAAGGATACCATGAGCACGACTGCTCTTATAAAGAACATTTAATTGAGGTGGCATCTTACAATCAGAGGTTCAGTCCATTATCATCATGGTGGGGAACATGGTGACCTGCATGCAGACATGGTATTGGAGAGTCCTACATCTTGGAGGCAACAGGAACTGAACTGAGACACTGGGTGATATCTTGAGCATATATGAGACCTCAAAGCCTGCCTCCTTCAATGAGACCACACCTACCCCAACAAGGCCAAACCTCTTAATAGTGCCACTCCCTGTGGGGGCCATTTTCTTTGAAACCCCCACAGGTATCGCAGGGCTGTAGAGTGAGCCAGGAACTCTAGGAAAAGGATAAAAGTTCAGCTAAAGGAGACAGAACCACTCAGAGCCTGATGTTGTGGTGCTTACTTGTAATTCCAGTTTTTCTACAAAGTGACTTCAAGCTACTTGAGGCTTTATCTCAAAACAAACACCCCCAAAACAACAGCAGCGCAAACCCTCCCAATAATCCTTGCTGTCTCTTTAAGACAGTAGACTTTTAAAAAATATTTGTTTGCTTGTTTGTTTGTTTATTTATTTAATGTATACTGCATGTATGTTTGTGCAAGGTTGCCAGATCTCTTGGAATTGAAGTTACAGACAGATGTGAGCTGCTGCATGGGTGCTGGGAATTGAATCTGGGTTGTTTGTAAAAACAGCCAGTGTTCTCAGTTGCAGAGCCATCTCTCCAGCCCCAGCAGATAGATTTTTGATCTCCTGACTAGGTCATCTGTGAGGGTTTTTTTTTTTTTTTTTTTTTTTTTGGAGGAAAAGGTTTATTTGTATTATACTTTTTTATTTATGTATTTATTTATTTAAGGTTTCTGTCTCTTCCCCGCCACTGCCTCCCACTTCCCTCCCCCTCCCCCAATCAACTCCCCCTCCCATCTGTGAGGGTTTTTGTTTCTAACATGATACAGTTTGCAAACATCGCATTTAAATTTATGGAAAAATTACATACATTCTTTCTTGTCTTTTCCATATGCAGTCTCAGAAGCATAAATATAAGGTTCTTTTCCGGGAACCAGACACATGGTGGAAGTTCAAACCAAAGGAGCTTGCAAGGTAAAACTTGGAGGTTTTTTGACATGGCCTTTTATTCCACAACAGTGACTGAAAGTTTATTGTGATTGTTTTTTCCTTTATAAATGACGAATGAAACAAATGTGATTAGATTTGGGCTTGATCACTTACAAATTGGTAAGATTTTATATTATGTATGTTTTATCTTATTTAAAAAGAATTATTTTAAAGATCTTTATATGTGTGTGTGTATGAATGGGTGCAAGCACACTCATGTGTCACATCACTTGTTCAAGGTCAGAGGAGAACTCTGGAGTTAGTTCTCTTACCCCAGTGACAAAAAATTATCATCAGGCCTTCAAGCAAGTGCCTGTGTCCACTTGGTGGCCCTTATCCAAAGTTTTATGAAAAGTTGGAAGATTTATAATACATGGCCAAAAAATTTCCAGTTGTCTTACGTTGTCAGTTGTGTGCTTCCTTGTAATAAACTAAATCTAGAACAGACCCTGGAGTTGGTACACTTGAGCCATGTACTTGGAGCGTCTAGAATTCTTAAAGTAGGAGGGAAAGGTTGCAGATATTTCGGTCTCCTACCCCAACTCGTTATCTAGGTGCTTGTCTTGAATTAAAAATATGTTATTTAAGAGATGGACATTCGCTGGTCTTTAATCCCAGCACTTGGGAGGCAGAAGCAGATGGATCTCTGAGTTCCAGGTCAGCCTGGTCTACAGAGTGAATTCTAGAACAACCAGGGCTCTGTTGCACAAAGAAACCTGCCTCAATAAAACCAAAAAGAAAAAAAATAAAAGATGAGCATTCGTTGTTTTTCTTCTGTGCTGTGTATTCTTTTAGAAGATTTTATGTAATTTTAGGTTATTTTTTTTGTAATAATTTTCATACTAAGACAGTCTGACCTTAATATATTCACAATGTTGTATGACCATCACTACTGTTTAATTCTGAAAATTTTCTTTCTTTTCTTCCTTCCTTTCCTTCCTTCCCTC